ATCCTACTATGCTTAGAAATCCAACAAATGTGCTAACTACTATCCCATGAAAGAAGGGGACTCACTCTCTTTTGAGAACAACGTTACAGTAACATGGAAGGGTTACCAAGAGGTTGGTTTGTAAAACTGAAAAAAGAAGAATTGACAAACAAATCTATTTTAGTTCACGTTTCCGTTTGAAACAAAAACAAAAATAGAGATTACTAATCTTGATGTGTCAATCGAAAATCATTCATCACATTCTGTCAAGCATCACCACTGGGTGGACTGGCCTGACAGAGGCGTTCCACCCGCTGACCTAGCGGCAATGCACTTGCTCTATACATTTCAGGACATCAAGTAAGGGCAAGGAAGATATAGAAGTCTTCGCAAAAATTACTTTACGTTCTAGAACTCCGGTTGTAATTCACTGTTCTGCTGGAATAGGGAGAACTGGGTCCATGGTGCTAATCGAGATTGCTATGGAGACTCTTCAAAAAGGTTACGCGCTTGAAGAGATGCCCAAATATCTAGTAGCAGTAAGAAGCCAGCGTAACAATAGCATCCAGGTACTATGTTTCCAAAATGAGTTCATGTGAATCTAGTTGATTTTGAAAAAATTCTTCAGAACGAACAACAGTATCTATTTGTTCATCAAGTCCTCCTGAACTTCTTACACGTTGCTGGCTGGTTACCCAAAAGTTTGGAACCTCACCTTCAGACGTTCACTGAACAATACCTTAAAATGACTAGTGGATTCTAATTAGTTTAAATCATACAAATGATCCAGAACATATAATCGCCTTTGTACGCTGTTAGTGTACATTGTATAGAGGTCTGATCAAACAGATTGACCTCTTCACTAATATTCCTAATAAATTTAGTTCAATGGCTTATAGAAAAATACGATCATCTTCAATTGAAACTGTAACAAATATGGGGCACTTATATGAGCTTATATAATGTGTGGAGCTGTTGTACTAATTGAATTTGTGAAAATATTATGCTGGGGCAGAGTAGTGTTTTTCTTCCTA